ACACACACACACACACACACCTACACCGCTCGCCTGCGGCGCTGCTTGCGGCCCTCGGGCGCCGGTGGCAGCTTGTGACCCCACTGTCTGCCCGGCCGGGCTTCGTCCTTTCATCCCGCAGTGGCAGCCGGCGCCGGCTCTCGGCCGCGCGTACAACACATTGTGGCGCGCCCCCCGCCCCTGCGCACCCAGCGGCCCTCCATCCGCCCGTACCGCTTGCCGCTTAGCGTCTACCCCAGACATTTCACCCCTGTTTCTGTTCTGTGCCACCCCAGGGGGCGCACAAGGTTGACCGGCCGCTGCACCTCCAGGTCAGCGCGGCCAGCGCCCCCGCGCGCGCGGCGGTGGAGGCAGCGGGCGGCAGCGTGACGGCGGTGTACTACAACCGCCTCGGCCTGCGCGCGCTGCTCAAGGTGCGGGCGGTGCAAGGGCGCGTGGACACGTCCGCGCGCATGTGTGGGTGTGTGGGTGTGTGGGTGCATGTTTGTGTGTATTTGCGCACGGGCGTGTGCGTGTGTATTTGAACACGTGCTGTCAGGGAGGTGGAGGGCAGGGGCTGCTGCCAGCAGGGCTGAGCCGGATGGCAGTGCCAATGTTGCCTACCCAACAGCAGTCCCTGCTGCGTGAGTATCGCTGTAATTGCCCGCCCAAGTGAAGTGTGTCCTCTTGGCGCCACTGATACCACAAGTCCACATGCTCCCCTTCTACCTCCCCCCCCCTTTCCACCCGTGCAGCCGGAGTTGTTTGCAAAGAAGGGCCGCAGCTTACCCTCAGCACCACGCGCATGGGCGCCGCGGGAAAACGGGAAGTTTGATGAGATTGGGCAGCTGCCGCCTGCAAGGGACGTCCCGGCAATCCCTTTGCTGCCGGGCCCCGAAGGTCGCGCGGCGGCCGCCGCGGCGGCTGGTGGGGGCTGGTGAGGCAGGCTTGTCTAGCGGCGGCGATCATGCGTTGTAAAAGCATGCGTGCCTACCGGAAGCAATGCAACTGTAGGCCGCAGCATAGCAGGTGGTGGCCCTGATGCAGCGGCCGAGGGCAGGATGCGGGATGCAGCTGGGGCGCGGGCCGAGCACGTGATTGGGGTCGGTCGGCGACTCAGCGCAGTGGGCTACATAAGCGTGTGTGTGTCATGTTGCTGCACTTGTCATGTATGAACTGTCAGACGCCATATGACCCACCTGCATGTTCACAAGGGTTTGCGGGGCCCTGTGCACATGTCCAGGGCTCAGTCCGGTGGCGCAAGGGGCCCTTTGCCTGCGCAAGTGCCTCTTGACCAGACTCGGCCATATTTGAAAACATTTGATATTCGCTTCTACAGAGCTCCGGCTGACGACCCGGTCTTTTGTTGAGAACCGGCGCGACGAAGAGTCACAAGTGTCTCTTATCATATCCAAACGGCTCAATACAGCTCGTGTGCTCCCATACACGCCACTAATACTCAACTGTATTACTTGCGCAGTATCGCGTGCATATATTTGGAGCAAACATGCAGGCAAGGACAAACGCGCTCGGGTGTGGTTCCGATGATCTGCTGCCTGGCCGTGAGAAGCCCTGAATCCCATCTCATTGCCATCAAATCTATCTTTGCAGACCCTTCGTGCGTCATGCGGCGTCCGTGGCTGCGTGAGCGACCGGGGCACCGGGTTAGATCGCAGTGTGTGCACCTGACGTGGGCGCTGCTGCCTCTTGTCGAATCTGCGGTGACGCGAAACAGGATGAACGCGGGATCAATTGCAATCCGTGCGGCCGCACATACTCTGTGCAGGTCGCGGTCAAGGGCGCCGCGCGCCGGTGCGTCGTGGTCCGTGCTGCGGCCGCGGCGGAAACCATCTCGCGCACCGCCGTCCCGCTGAAGCTCGAGGAGGGCGAGCTGCCCCTCAACACCTTCAACAATAAGAAGCCGTTCACAGCTACCATCAAGTCGGTCAAGCGCATCGTGGGGCCAAAGGCGACCGGCGAGACTTGCGACATTGTCATCCAGACCAACGGGGAGATCCCCTACTGGGAGGGCCAGTCCTACGGCGTCATCCCCCCGGTGAGGACGAGCGGCGATGACGAAGCGAAACGATGCGCGCCCGCACCGCGCGCCCGGGCGGCAGGGCAGGGGCACGGCGGGCGCCGGGCTGCGATGTCTGGCCCTCCGCGTGGGGGCCGGCGCGCTGGCTGGGGCTGGCGCGCCCCGGCCCTACCGGCTGATGGGAAGGCCGGCCCGCGCGCCGCCAAGTGGTCGCAGCTCAACGGTGGGCCTGACGCCCGACGGGCGTGCAGCCGGCGGCCGCCGGGGGCAGTCCGCCCCTGCGGCCGCGGCCGCCTCGACGCCCCCACAATGGCTCGGCGCCTGCACCCCACCTGCGCGTCCCCCTGCTCGCACCCCCGTTCCTTCCCCTTCCCTCCCCTTCGACCCTCTTCTGCACCCACTCTCATCCCACACATAACCACCCACCCACCCATCCACCCCACCAGGGCACCAAGGTCAACAGCAAAGGCAAGGAGGTGCCCTACGGCGTGCGCCTCTACTCCATCGCCGCGTCGCGCTACGGCGACACCTTTGACGGCAACACCACCACGCTCTGCGTGCGCCGCGCGGTGTACGTGGACCCGGAGACGGGTGAGTGGCA